GTCGTCTTTAAATTGAATTACTAACTACTTACTTAATATACCATCTCATTTATTGATATAAACTTTAGTATAAATTTATTCTTTTAAGAGAATATTCTAATCAATGATACTTCTTATATATGAGAACTTCATTAGATTGACGTACCACATCCCAGAAGTCCATAACAAGAATAATATGTACCTTATAAAACCTTACGTTTATCAGAAGGACCAATTACTGAGAGATAATCCTTGACATCATCGTTTGTGCTTTAGCAACTTTAGATTTAGCCTTTTCTGAGTCATTAACTTCTTGTCCTAGTCGAGTGACTTTATTATCTTTAGCAACTCTATTTTTATAAAGCTTTCAAGCTTAAGTTCTAGGTTTATGAACATATGCCTTCTTCCTACCATGTGTTCCAAGCAGTCAGAGTCCAGGTACAATAACAGGTGTGTCAACTATGTTGTTAAGGATATATGTAGAATATATGATTTGTTTCTTGGGTACCCATAATTTCTTGGGTCCTCTCATGTTAGTTCCCCCAAAGTTTTTAACAACTCTGGGTTTAACAGCAAAACAATCATATTTGCAAGAATTAAACCTAGAGGAATTTCCCAAGAGTTTTGCCTTAGGTTCAGAAGCAGATTTCTCTTTTTCTTTTCCCTTATTTTAGGCACAAACCCAGCAGAGACAAAATGGGAATGAAGAGTGTTATGTCTGTCTTCCTTATTGGAATTAGATTCGTCACACGAGTTATATTCATTACCATTGGTTCCATTTATGCTTACGACATAGATCATAGAAGCCAATATGCTTCTCCCTATGCTTCTGGCCAACAATTTCTGGAAGGCTTTGTCATATTTCATAATGATATCATCAGTACTCTAAGAAGCTTCTAGAAGAGTTCTCGTGCCTTTGAGGCCATAGTTCTCGTCTTTGAGAAATAAATTTTATTCACTTAAAATGAAGATATCTTCCTTAAAATTGATGTTTTTATAAGATGTGGATTCATAGGACCTTTTAAGTTCCTTGAATTAAATTTTGAGCAACTCATGTTTTTCAAGAATTTCAACTAAAAAAGAAGTTAATTTAGAAAGAGTAAGGTCAGAAAACACCTCTTTGGAGAATACCTCTTATGTGTCTGAATATGATTCTGCTTCATCTTCTGGAGGGATCATTTTGTTGTACCCCAAAATTTTCCCTCTCATTTATCAAGTATTTTCTCACAAGATCTCCTTTGGTTCAAGACTACACTAGGGTTGATCAGCTTAAGACACCTCCTTAAGCACCGATGACTGAAATTAGAGTTTGAGATTACACAAGGATAATTGAACTTTTAATTCCTCATAGGAATTTCATGGATCATTATGGACCCTCAAGATTTCTCATGTCAAGTTTCAAGTTTTGGATCACATGTTTGCTCAGTCAATTGATTAGTTGACCTAAAAAATCAACTATATTGAGTAAAAAGTCAATTGTGGTCAATTTACAGTCAAACTTCATAATTTTTAATCCATATAAACATTGTGAACTCCTATATGTAATTTGATCAAGTTTGGACCACAATTCCTCAAAAAATTTGATCAGATCCTTAAAAGGGCAAAATGGTCAAAATTAGGGTTTTTGACTAAGAAAGTGCAATTTCTGATTTTTGACCTAGAAAATGGTTAATTGGTTTGAGACATGATCTCAAGGTTTCAATTGCATCATTTTTACCTATTGACACGACTCAAAACATTGCTCAAGGTCATTTGATTGATAGTTGATTTTCAGTCAACTGATCAAAAGTCAACTGCACACTGAAATGTCAAACTTTGACTTTTTGGTCAAAATCAAGTGTCAAAGATCACAATTCATCAAAACATGTCAAGATATGAAACTTGTTCATCAAGAAATCAAAAAGTTAAGATTTCATTTTGAAAAGTCAAAGTTTCCAAACTTAGAAATTTTTCTAAGTGTTGAAAACTTCATATTTTTTCACAACTTTGAGCCAATTTTTCACCATGATGCAAGATGATTCAAAATAAACTTTCAAAATGAAAGTTATAGATCTCAATGAGATTTAAAACATTTCTTTACATGACTTCTCCTAGAAATTAATGGATTTCAAGTTATGATTTTGTGAATACATGTTCATGAAACTTGGAAACTTAGTGAAATTTTTCCCTAGTTTAGGCAGGATTTTGACTTAACTTCATGGAAATTTTTCACATAGTTCAAGGGGAATTTTCAAAAGTCATTTAAAGAGGGGTTGTACAACATATTACAAGCTTTCTAAAATGTCCAAGAACTCCTTGAGATCATGTTTGAGCATGGAGAATCGAAGGCATGAAGTTGGCATTTCATTCTTGAATTATAGGTCATTTTCATGATGAACAAGAATTCAAATCAATTCTAGGCTGCACAATATTTGCTTTACAGGCCTCAAACTTGTTTGGCACTCCATAATTATATGTTTGCAAAGCTGTTAGAGGCTTCAACTCAAGCATTCAATGCATTGCCCATGCTTAATGCCATTTTGGGAAGAAAGTGTACATTGCCATTTTGGAAAAGTAGCTTTTATGCACAAAATCAGTTCTTGAGCTTTGAAATTGTTTTCTTCTGATCATACACAATCTATAACCCAAAAGAAACTTGTCTAAATCCTCTAAACAACTCAACCCATGCTTGTACTTTGTCTTGAAACCATGTTTTCACTTTTCTTCAAAATCAAGTAACATAGCCATAACTTGTACTTGTATGATTCTAACCCTCTCAAGCCTCAAAACCTTTTCCTTACTTATGCACAAGTTGTTTGCATCAAAAGGGACGAGTTCAAGCACCCTCAAAACCTCTCAAGCACCTTGCTGCACAATATTGCCCAAACTTGACAGTTTTGAGCAAAAAATCACCATCTTCATTTCCACTCGTGCGTTCTGAAAAATAATAATCCAAACACCTACATACATCATATCAAAGTAATCCAGGCCCTTATTTCCTAACTGTAACTCCTCCATCACCATCCACCATTCTCAAAACTGAAGCTTGTAACTTGACTTGATTTGGGAGTTTCAACCATCCTCAAAGCAAAGTAGGAGTTGGAATACACACAAGGAGGTACAGGCCAACTAAACAGATCATTGGGAAACCTCAAAGCTTGCTCAAACTCCATACATGAATCCAGCTGCAAGAGGTAAGTTTTAAAACTTCTATCTCTTCATACAAGCATCATTTGATTCTGATTTATGAAGATACAATGTAGATACCATTGCCACGAAGTTGTACATATCCATAGTTTGCATTTATATGGCCTGAGCTGAGAAAAATTTTAGAGTTCAAGTTTCTGAAATTTTTAGGTTTTAATTTAGGGCCATAAAAATTCTTACTCATCTTTGACTTTTAGCTTTAGTTATTTATATGGTTAGATTTGTGGGAAGAAATACCACAACTTTCATGTTTGTACTTTCCATTTTTGTTGAGAGATGAAGAAGTTACAGGTACTCTGGCTGGGCGTTGTAATACCCCAAATTTGTCCTACCCTTTTACTTCCTATCTGGCTTACGCATTTTTGCATTTTTCTCACATATATAATTTCCATTAGGTCATCTAACACATCATGCATCATCAATCAATAAATTGGCATAAGATCATGGATTTCGAGGAATAAGGGTTGGTGTATGGCTTTAAGGCTCCCATCTTCGCACAAGCTTGTTTCGGTTGATTTCTCCATTAATAATTTGTTTGAAGCTAGGGTTTTGTTTTCTAGACTTCTTTATCATTAAACTACATGGGTATTCTTTCTTCTCGACATCAAGTTGCGATCTTTCTTCAAGGATTAAGAATTAGGATTTTTCGTCCATTATGCTTCAACTGGGGGTCATTAGATTAAGGCTCGATCTTGTGGTTATCTTGAGCCTCTCTTTCTCTAACACTGTGGACTTCTTTTTAGTGATACAATTTTTTGGTTCTCATCAAATACTTTCCGCTTCAATTGTGAGTCATCCTAAGGCTATCTCGAAAGGCTGCAAGCTTAAGCAGTGAGGAACATCGTCTTATACTTATCACCTCCACATGAATGATGATTTATTTCCATAATCATGTATACTTCAAAAGGGGTTCCATGTGTATTTATTCTTCAATAAATTTCAAAGGGGTTCTATAATTACTTAAAGTGCGAATGGTTGAAGATTTTGATGTATCCATGGCCATTAGGATCTTGTTCAAGGATGCTTCAATATGTCATACAAAGAGGTTATCGTATAAGAAAATCGTATCTTTTACGAGTTAGTATTTAAATGGTCCTTTCTTCATAAAATGAGGTTTAGCTATTCCTTGAATCTCAAGGCATATGTTCACGAGCTCTAGGCAAGAGAAGAAGATTCAATGGGATATTATTTGCCAAATTGGAGTTTGTACACTTTATGATGCAAAGCTCTTCGTCGGGTCTATTCGCTTACTTGTGATATAATATGCTTTGGGGGACTTCATTTCAAAATACATTAAAATCAAAATCTTAAGCTTCTTCAATTATGGTTTTGAAGTAAGGATTAAGAAAGATGCAAAGCTCGTTCATTTGAAGGTGTTTAGGCATGTTTTCATTCAAAAGCAAAGAAACTCGAAATTACAAGTTTGTTCTTGGAAAAGGCTCTTATTAAATTCATATCACAACCATGGAGTTATATGTAACACAAAATTAAAAGATCTTGGAGATACAAAAGGCAACTTAGAAGAAAAGATTACTTGGAATATTTGGGCTTCATCATTAAAATTCAAGGGTTCACATTCATTCAATGATATGACCTTTACAAGTTCTAAAGCATTACTCATGATTTGTCAAAGGGTTATCCAAATTCATTCTCGTTCATTCGAGGTCATAACCATGCAATTTACAAGCGGTGTCATTAGAACATTACAAGAGAAGATTTCAAAAGGCCGTTTACATCCAAGATTACTAAATCAAAAACAAGAATTTACATTAAATATTCAAGTGGTCTAAAGAATTCTAAATCGAGGTCTCCATCATTTCTAAACTTATTTATCTTCAAGCCACTATCTTCCAAGATTGCCCCATTCCAACCTGGTTATGTCCAAGCCTCAGTCCATGTTTCATACCAAAAGAAAACCTGCATAAACAACCATTTTCCAAGCCAGTTCAGTGCCAATGTATATTCAAGTTAATTCAATTTGAAGTACAAAAATCAGCAATTTCACCAAGTGTTATGTACTTAAATCAAACAAATTTATCAAAATCATAACACATACATTACACTTCCCATTCCCTAACCTTCTCAAACTTTCAACCATTTTTACAAAAAAAGAAACAGTTATTAGAATTACCAAACAAACCATAACACCTAACAACCCATAACTAACTATAACCAACTTTCCATTTCCCAATTTCCTAATAAACTTTTCTAACAGCTTTTCTAACTGTTAACTACCCTGCCAACCTCCTAACCATCTTCAAAAACAGCCCAAACTGCAAACAGCTAACAAAAACCAAAAGTGAATTCACAAATAGTTATAATCCAAAACCATATCCCAACTAATCCTAACCTCTATAACAGAAACCTATAACAAACCCTCTAACTGTCAACAAACTCCTAACTAATTTCTAACATTTTTCTAACTAACAAAACAAACCTACTAACAAAATTCATCTTAAACTAAATTCTAACTAACAGCTAACCAACCTCTAACCTTCTCACCCGTAACAGAAAACAGAATTTTCTAACAATCTAACAAACTTCCAGCAGAAAAATTCTAACACACTATACAAAGCAGAATTTACCTCTTTCATTAGGCATTCTTCAGCATTCTGGAAGCATCACCACAAAAAATCAGAATCATCTCTCTACTCTCTTTTCAACTGAATCATCATCACATACCCCTCCAATCTCTGAATTTCCCTTCATCCTCCCTAGGAATTTCAACAACTTGCAACATTCTGCACAAGATTTGTAACAGCTCCAACACAACATCGACGCGACAGAAAAGCGCAAATCAGAATAAGCAAAAAAAGAAGTAAAAGAAGATTGCGGAAAATAAGAAGAAGCTCGAAGAGTTAAGAGAAAATACGTGTTACCTGAAGAGTTTGAATAGCGGGCTTTATGGCTCTTTATTGTCGTTGTTGTAATGCATTCGAAGCGACTCCGATAGAGAAGAGAAGGATCAAAAGTGAATATATACCTGAGTGTATCTTGTTCTGGATTTCTCGCATTTTCGTCGTTGACGAAGAGTCATCGGAACATCTCCGGCCAGTGTAGATGAAATTGATAGCGAATCGAATATGAATTTGCCGAGGAAGTGAGGTGAAGAGGATGAACATGGGGTCGTGATGGAGACGATGTGGGGACGGTCACGTGCGGCAAATCGGAGCCGCCGCCTCTAAGCCGCAAGAAAGAAGGAAGTGGCGTTGCTCGTGTTTCGCAGAGAAGAGGATCGGAAGAGATGTGAGGCTATGACGGAGAGAGATAACGGAACGGAAGGGGGGAAGCGTCGAGACGTCCGTTGGTAGATCGAAGGAGGGTACGACGATGAAGATGAAGAGACCAGTGGCGCCGTCCTAGAGGAAGATGGGCATACAATTGCAATCCCTAACCCTTTTCCCATTTCCAATTTTCTCACATTTTTGTTTTTACTTTTTTATATATTTATTTGTTTTAATTCCCATAATTAATAGTTCAAACAAAAGAAAAGTTGGGCCGACAATATTGTAATTGGCCCGAGTTGCCTGTCACTAAGGCCCATGGCTATATTTTTTGGGAGTTGCTTTTTTGCTGAAGCTATACAAAAAAAAAGGGCTTATTGGACATTACAGGATGGGCCTAGCACCTAATATTAGTCAGATACCTTGATTTCAATACTACACCCCTGTCCTCATAATCTTTAAGATTTTATTTTTTGCATATAATTTTGTCTATTTCTTTTTTTATGATAAAATTCTAAGATCCATAAAAACTTGTTAGTTTTTTTTTTGATTTAGGAAATAATTCTTGTTTGTTTGTTAGAATTTTCTCTATATAAAAAATAATGATAAAAAAGTGGTAGAGTATTTTAGAACTCTTTAGAATTTCTTTTTAGAATTTTGATTAGAAGTTTTTCTATTTTATTTTTCATATTTGGTAATCATTTTTATTGACTTTTTTTAGTCAAGATTTTTGTGATAGCATTGATATAACTCTTGCAATATGGAATACTCGGGGTTAATTCTTCAATCACTTGCCCAAGGGAACTTTGATAGAATTTTCTTACCGCTTGCACAATTTTGAAGAGGCAACGGACCTTCTCCGTTCGGTATTGTCACAACTCTATTTTATTATTTATTTCAGTACTTTATCGCAAACCATATGCGTGCTAACATTAGGTAGAATTCCCTCATTCATTCTAACTTTAGGGCTAACAATGCACGATAACATTAGGTTTAGAAGTAAGCTAGTCCCATTTGACTTTTCTTTCTCCTTTTGCATTCACACCTAAAACTAAAACTTCTTTTCTTTCAAATTTCAAAAACACTTAAAAAACTACTGATGAGAATCATGCTTTTGCTTAGTACGAGAAATGATAAGCGGGTCTCTTCTCGACCTTATCGTTCTTCATCTCAAGTTTAGGTGTGGTTCAATTCTCAAAGACTCCTTTCATGACTAAGTAGAAAAATGGCTAATATCTCTCTCTTGAGGTCAATCAGTCATCATCTACAATGAAAATACAAAACAAATTCAAACCATTTTGTGCGCTCGAGCACCATTCTTAAAAACCCTTTTCAGGTAAGGACACGATCAATTTACTTCTGTGCCAACGCATAAGTCTCCAAAGGCCGAGTTGCGGCAGAAGGCGGAATTAACTTCGTCCAATCAAAACATCTACAACAAAATATAAACCAATTTAAATCTTTTATGCGCTCGAGAACTTATCTCTAAAACCCTTTTCAGGTAAGGACATGATTAATTTACTTCTGTGCCAACGCATATGTCTCCAAAGGTCGAGCTGCGGCAGAAGGCGGAATTAACTTCGTCCACAAAAAACACAAACAAACAAAAACATATGAGCCAAACTATGGTAGCTCTGATTCCTTAAAACCGATACGTAGGCATTGGGGTAGGGCCCAAGCGAGCATAATTTTATTTTCCCTACATTCTTTTCTCTTTTATTTTGCATGCATTCCCTTCAGTAGTATAATAAACAGTAAGCGTAGATTAGACACACCCATAAGATAGATAACAAGAGTGGATACCATAGAGTACTACGGGCATGTGGGGTGCTAATACCTTCCCCTCGCGTAACGGACTCCCTTACCCGATCTCTCGATGTGATCGATGGATCTGGAACTGACTGTTTAACGCTGGTTCACGAAATGTCGCGGAAGCAAGAGTCGCCACCGTCTTTTATTTTCTCCAACATGGACAGGACAAAAGCACAACAAAATTCCTTATTGAGAATGTTTCTCGGTTCGGGAGGTAGATTTATAGAAAGGGAAGGTGTTAGCACCCTTTCTATCCATGGTTATCCATGGGCTCTTAGATACTTGCTCATTGTGTTTTCAAAAGTGTTTACTTTTCAATTGTGAGTGGGTTTTGAAAAAGTTTCTTTGAAAGTTTCGGAATAACTCTTGTATCAGTCCTCAAGAGTGTTTGAAAAATTGTTTTGAAAGCTTTTTGAAAAGTGTCGGTGTGAAAAGAGTTTTGATTTGTTTTTGAATAGAGCAAGTATCTATGAGTCATCTACCTACCCTAAGGAATTAGGCTGTGTAAATGTCCTTAAGGTAGTGCCATCCCACCATTGAGAGGTAGGTGGCACCACCGTTGGAGGTATTCGGGTCAATTCGTTTTTAGGGACAGTGTGGTCACCAGAGCAACAATAGGACACCTTAGAAGCTACCCTTATGCCATTGATCCTTTTTAATTCCGAGGCAACTGTTTCGAGGCAACTGGATCATGTCATGGACATAAGGACTTACTAAAACGTCCTATACTCGACGACCACGTTTCGAAGGCAAGGCAACAGTGAGGCGTACCCTAAGAGTGGTGTGTGAATTTGTGTGTTATTTTCATGTTATGTTTTATCTTGTACATGTATCATGGTGATCTACGCTTGTTTTTAATTTAGGCCATACATTCTTTCATGCAAAGTTTAGAATTTAAAAGTGCGGAAATTTAAATGACGGAAAAGGTAAATCCTACGCTATTACAAGGCGCGGGTCTATACATCGCCAAATTAACAAAGACCCGTTTGGTAAAAAATGCGGAAAATAAATAAATTTCTAATTACTATTACATGGCTTGAGCAATTACATAATATTCACAATAAAATAACGTGCGAAAAGAATAGAAATAGAACGTTCGAGGGCGTTGGACCCTTTTGAAATTAAATTAAATTAAAAGTTAATTAATTATTTAATAAAAGAAAAGAAATGTTTTTTTATGTTTTTGGTATTTAATGAAAATAAAGAAAATTAATTAGAAGTTAAATGAAACCCTAGTTCTAAATTATTTTTAATTGTTAAAGAAAAAAATATTAAAGTTTAACCTAATTTACTAAATAGTTAAGGTATATGTTTATTTACAAAATATTTTATAATTAATAATGATAATAATGAGAGAAGATTATTTATTAAAAAAGATGAAAAGGTTAAAAACCCTAATTTCTACATATTTTAATTTATTAAGAAAAACATTAAAGTTTTAAAACCTAATTTACTAAATTAATGGTTAGAGTTTATTTACAAAATAAATTAATAGTGAATTAAATATTAATTAAACATATTTTTAGTTTTTGATTTTTTGGTTTTATTATGAAAAGAAAATTATTTGAAGTGAATTAAATAAAAATGATTAAAAGAACTAGAAAAAGAAAAGAAAAGAAAATTAAAAAATAATATACAAACATTGGGGGGTGTCTGGCCCATTTAGGAGGTTTTTTGAAGCATTTTGGCCCATCAAAATACAAGGCCTTCGTTGACTTTCTAGCGCATGTGTATGTGCATTGACTGACGTACATGGTAGGACTCCTTTTGCAGCCTCTGGATTGAAGCTCATGGGCGCGTGGCAGGCATGAGTGTGAGCGTGCATGATGGACTTTGGATGAAGTGCTGCATAGAAACACATTAGGAGGAAAAATATGAAATATGTGGGGGGGACCTGGGAATCGAACCCAGGTCCCAACGTTTACCAAGCGAATGCCTTGCCACTTGAGCTGTTTGCGCGCTTTGTATATGTAATAGATAACAAATAATATATATGAAAAAGGAACATTATGCTGGAACGTTGAAAAACCGCGCCAAGATTTGAATTGTCCAACCACTCAAAGACACGCTAGCCTTCTTCTTCATCTTTGTACCTGTAATATAACCAAATAGCGGGGGTTTTAAACCCCCACTAAACGAGACCTGCAAAAATAGCGAATAGCACATGGTAAAATATAAAAAGGGCGCGAGTAGTCAGTTTGCTTCGTCTGGATGTCACGAATTCAATGGCATAGGTTTGATGGTCTAATTTTTCCATATGAGGAAATCCCTAATTCGAAGCTTCTGAAACCCTAGGTTTCAACAATGGTGGATTCCTATTTAGGCAGCCATAGTTCAATTGAATGGTACCAACAGCTTCAGAATATCATTGTTAGTAAGAATCAACAATTAAAACTCATGAATAATGCATGTAAATTAAAAAACGATTATGGACATGTTCAAGAAAAGTGTGACTTTGTTCTACCAATTCTTGAGGTCTGGAGACTGGTTCTTGATTGCAACACGTTCCTAGCAATGTCAGGAACGTAATGGACAAGCTTTTAGACGTTGAATCTCCTTGTGACTATGATTTCAGTGTTCAAGTTTTTTAGTGAAAAATTGCAAATTGGTTCTATGTTTTCTGAGCAGCTTTCGTGTGTATGAGCATTAGGTTATGTTGTGCCTTTGTATTTGAGTGAAATTAGGTCAAAAAACCAAGCCCATAGTCCATGAATTTATGATTTTGATATTTGATTTTGTTCATATCTTTTCCAATCTTTTTCCCTGCCAATCATGCCAAATTTGGATGATATTGTCCCCTTGAGATGGTGCACGAAATCTCTTGCATATATGGAAGATATTTGCTGCACAAAAAAGATTTAAAACCATTGTTTAATATTTTTCTCATTATTGAATTTAATTAAATGAATTAATAAGATTAAAAATTCAATTAATTAATTAAAAATAAGAAAATAAATCCCTTTGAGCTTAATGGGTCGTGCATATGCTTTGGGTAATGATTCATGGAAGAATTTGTGGCCCATTAGCAATTTTGAGGCTTTTGAAGCAAAGTTGACTTTTCAAAATTCCCAAAAATTTCCCAACTT